GCGCCTTGAAAAGCTGGTTCTGGAGTGAGCAGCCCCCTGTCACTGCCACTTGAGGTTCTTGAGAGAAGGGATGGGGGGACCACAGGGAGGGCCAGTGTGAACCTTGTCCTGGGACCTCTCCCCACTGGGTGAGAAGCAGGAGAGGAGCTATTCCACGGGGCTAGTGAAGCAGTACCCGTCTTTCTCTCTCCCTAGCCAGGGCAGAATTTTGTTTGGGCTGGCGAAAGCAAGCCAGAGGGGTCTGCTTAGAACCTCTGCAAATGTGTGTGATTGAGGAAGGGGACGTAGCTCTGTCCACATCCCGTGTCCTTGCTTTTCTGGGCTCTGGCCTGTGAAAGGTTTCCATTGAGGCCATGTGGCCCTCATCCAAAAATATTTTCTTACCTTGGGATAAAGAAACATTTTCCTCTCTCATAAAACTAAAGCCTGCGCAGGGTTCATGCCACGAAGCCAAGTGGCAGAACAGACCAAAGGGAGGCCTTTCCATTGCCCCACGTTCTCCCCCCAGGAGTGCTGTGAGGTAGGTGACATGTGATATTTTGCTAATACATGTCCAAATGTATAGGCTGCTATTAGAACTAAATGGTCCACAAAGCAGCTTATATTTTTATTATTATTTCATTTTTATACCAGCCTGTAGCCGAAGCTCTCTGGGCGGTTTACAACAATGTATACCGCAGAACAATCAAATACAACACAAACACCATAAAAACAAGAGTGTGAAATGAATTTAAAATAAATTTAAAATACAGTAAAAATGCAGCAAAGAAGACAAATCACCTGGATAACCAGGGAGATCTTGGAAGTCATAAAGGGTTATAACCATTCATGCAACCAGCAAAACTCACTCATAACAGATAATAAGAAATAAGTAATAAATCGTCGGTGGAAAAACAACAGCAGCGACAACACAACAGCCCAGATTAGGGATATTCTGCACCAGAGGTGTCACAGCACTGGGCAGCAGGGCATCTAATGCCCTGCCTTGAAACATCTGCCCCACCTCCTTTCCTGTGAGCCCCCCGCGCTGGCTTTGGATCTTGTTTGGTGGGAGGTGCCTCAAAGGGTGTGCAGGGAAGGAGAAATCCATTTTACGGATGGCGCCCGTTCTGCTGGTGGGCAAACCATGTTGCTGGTGTTTGCTGGTGTTTTGATGATTCAGAGAAGGGGCTGAACTGAACCTCTGGAGCTTGGGCGTTGCATACTCTAAGCTGACAGTTAGCAACTGTCCCAAGCTTGCCCATTGAGCCCCATAGCTGAGTCAGGATGTGAATTCTCCCTGATTGTAGTCTGACGCTCTAACCACTGCATCACCTTGCCTCAGCAACCTGGCTCTTCCTTAGCCAGGGAGCCCCCTGCCCACAACAGATGGGGCAACCTGGAGCACGTCCGTCCGTGGCTCTCGATCTGCTGGGGAAGAGTATATGGGGGAGGCCCTCCTTAAGGTAGACCACAGCTTAGGCTCTGAAGGTCAGTTCATAACACTTCCACAGCTCACAGTTTATTTCTTTTAATGGCTTGTGGGGGGAAAGGAGAGGGGATTATACTGAGTCACCAAAGTGTTTCTAACTCTGCTTTAAATGCCCTTTTAATTTAGATGGGGCAAACGTTGTTTTCTTACACAGCAGTTGGTTTTACTGGAAATCCATTTTGCCAGATGGCTTGCAAAAAAGAGCAGTTATAAATAATCTTTATAACATGACCAAAATAGGTAATTTAACGACTTTTGGGCACAGATCGCTACTAAACATATCTAAATAATATCTTGTTAATGACTGAAAGGTATTGTGAAGGGAAGGAGAAAGAGGGTTCTTGTTTGTGTTGCTTTTCTCTCTAAAGGGACTATTTCTTCCCCTTTTTAATGTCTCAGTTTGCTCTTAAAAAAATCAATATTTTATTTCTTAAAGAATGTAGGGGTGAAGGTTTCTAAGATCTCTGTATGAGTCATTGGGGACTTCCAAGTTATTTTAAAGGGCAAGCTATCATTTTGAAACAGTAAAGTGTGAATTGCTCTCCCACTCTAAAGAGGTGAGGTGGAACGACTCTTTGTGACCCCAGTTTTGCTTGCATGCTGAGTAATACTAGTTTGAATAGGGCTTATTAACCCCCGTCCTTCTAATCCCAAAATCAGAAACTAGTGGAGTAGTCAGCCAGAATATTTTATTCGGCACCATCAAAGCCTCCTGATTTTCCTGTCCTGCTACACAGATGAGCCCTAAGCTTGCTTAAAAAGTAAGGGATGGGTGTAAGCAGAATTCCTGGAGAAGGACTGAGTTCCACAATACCAGGGCCATCACTTACAAGGCCATATATTGCCCATAAAAGTTATTCTTTCTTGGAATGAGATAACCTGGAGTAGGTTCCTCGAAGGTGAGCTTAACAGGCGGATTGGCTGTTAAAGAGGAAGTTGTCTTCTCTTTAAGACAAGGCTTTCCTTTAGTGCAATGCTGGCTGGAATTTTAATATGAGCCAGAGAAGAATGATTGTGCTGTAGGGCTTGTCTTGCGCTTGGCCTTGCTCAGTTAAGCAATCTGAATTTTGGCCATGTCACCAGAAAAAGAATGGCACAAAAGCATCTATCGTCAGAAAGAAATGATGGCACCAACAGTAAAAGTGGAGGATGCTTGGCATGGTCTGCTTTCTAGTAATAGAGTTCGATTGCCACAATTGTGTTTTCCAGTGTAGTTTTGCAAAAGTCTTCAAGAAGTAATACAGTCAGCATGTTGTAAATTTAATCAGACAGTATTTCCTAGGTGGGCTAAAATGTAGCTTCTGTCCCTCCCTGTTGATAGATAAAAAGCATGAGAAAAAGCATTGGAGGCATGATATGATCACCCTCCTAACCCGACAGTGGGGTACGGAACCATTTGCCTCCGGGCTGAATGTGGTTTTCAGTGCTGATCAATGACTTGCCCACCTCTCTGCCATCTTTCCTTCCTTTGTTTCATTTCTGTGCTGCCTAACAGGCAAAACTTGCTGGGAAGTTTGCAAAAATCAGCACTAAAAATGCAACAGAATTTATGTGCTGTCAAGACATCTCTGACTTAGGGGAACCCTGTGAATGCAGGCCCTCCAGAATCTTCTGTCCTTGACAACCCTACTCAGCTCTTCTAAACGCAAGGCTGTGGCTTCCTGGATGGAGCCCTTCCATCTCATATTTGGCCTTCCTTTTCTTCTCCTACCTTCAGCTTTCCCTAGCATCATGGTCTTCTCCAGGAAGTTTTGCTTTCTCATGTTGTGCCCAAAGCATAACAGCCTCAGTTTTGTCATTGGGGAAGCTCTGGCTTGATTTGATCTCGAAACCAATAGTTTGTTAGAAAAATAATAGTATCAGATAAAACCACATGCACGCAAAAATATGACACAGCTTTGCACAGTCAATGATAAAATGCCAGAGACCTTTAAAAACACTGCCTATTTCTTTACCTGGGAGTAGAGGAAGGTCTTGACTTGGTGTTGGAAAGATGATCAGGTTGGCACAAGGCAGACCATACCCAGCCTTGCCCCCTTTGTAGTCATCAGGCTGACCAAGAAACCCTCTCCCAAAATTAGAATTAGAGAGAATTTTGGGAGTGGGTGGCAGCTGGGACAGAGGGTTAATCCTTCCATCCTCATGCACTGTGGCCCCTCAGAAATCCCCTCAAGCTGTAATTGAGTTTAGGAAAAAAGCTTCCATTCCCTTTTCTTAGCCTCATTACTGTGTGTGCCTCTGATTTTCTGGGTGGTTGTCAGTGGGGAGAGAAAGGCTAGCCCTCCATGCTTTAGGGACTGCCCTCCTTCCAATAAAATTGCCCCCTTCCTGATGCCAGTTAAACTTAGAAAAAAGTTCCTGGTTGTACTACTGGAGCCCTTTTTCCTGAGCTGAATTGCCTTCTAGGAAGGAACATAAAGAGAGAAAGAAAAGTCTGTATCTTTCAAACAGGTTCTCTAACCTTAGGGAGTGCCTTGATAATCCAAGTATTTCAGTTAGAACCATATTAAATCGTTCCTGCCAAGCAGTTGCTGCTGAAAATGGCATTCCTGCGTTGGCCTTCATTGTTATTGTCTCCGGCATTAAGAAATGTGGAAAATATACCGCACGCATCTTGCTGCTTCCCAGCAGCCAGCGATATGGGGCAGGGAAATAAACAGTACAGTGCTATCAGATTGTGCATTTCCTTAACCGAGTATTGTGATGTGAGGAAGAAGGATCCAGATACCAACTTGCCCTTTCGGCGGCAACCCAGGAAACATGTTTCGATTCTGGGGTATCCCTTTTAGCTGCTAATTAAATATTAAGATCGTGGGCATGCTGTATGCCTGCATGTGTTAACAATCCTTCCGCTGTTGCTCCCCGGTCATAAGATTTTAACTCATTTTAAGCCACTTTATTACTGCATATATGTGCAAGCACATTAAAAAAAGGAGGGGGGGGGGTTGACTGGCGTCCTTGCAAAGAAATTACTCCAGGAACAACTAAATGTGCTGTTGGTTGTGTGCACAATAGAGCCATTGTGCAAGGCAGAGTGGGGATCACCTCCAAGTGCCCTCAGGTGAAATCTAATGGAGAACCAATTTGAAACTGGATGGAGTTCACCCGGCGAAAGCATGTGTCTTAGATAAACATCTGATCCATGTTAGATGCCTTTCTGTAGTGCTTGTTTTTGTGATTAAGTTCTAATTATTATTACTTAAAAAGCATTTTTAATACATATGGCTGTGTTTGCCCTTGTGGAGTAAGGGGCTTGTTATGTTGTCTTTTAATGTGGAATCTATAAAAACGGCTGTTGGCAAGTTCCTCTGATTTATGAGGCTAATGCAGCTTTTTTCTATTACCGAAAGTGATCGTTTTCTGGTAAACCGGGAGCATCGAGCTGTGCCCTGTTCTTCTGAAAATGGCCTTTTGAGATACATTTCATTGTTCTAGGAATACTCAAGTGGTGGATTATTTATGCCATTTAAATATTTTACTCTGAGCTTCTTTTTTTTTTTTTGTTCATTCCTTTTCATTCCATTTTCAGGAAAGTTCTCATCTGCCTGCTTCTTTGCTGTTAGCCCAACACAAAGACCGGTCTTCACAACTGGAATTGCAACTGGAGATTCCCCAACCGGTCAAGCCGGTTGCATTTTCAACGGGCATCAGAATGGTAAGGCCCAAACAGGTGCTTTGTGTGTGTGTGTGTGGGGGGGGGAGGGGGGAGAGTGGGCCAGGTTTGCATGTTCACTGGGGAAAAAAGCTACAGTGGCTTTTCCCCACCCTGCATGAGCCAGTCATGTGCCCTGTGGTCTGCCTCGTTGCCCACATGGTGCCTGGGCTGCACGGGTTCTGGGGTAGTTTGTTAGCCAGCTCCTGCCACGTACTTTGCTGGGTTCAGATGACGTGGCAACCTGCATGCCATGAATACAGTGTGTCAGGCAACTGGCTCCTTTTCCCCAGTGATCTTGCAAACCTGCCTGGGATCTGTGTTTCTATACATGCACGAACGACAGAAAAATACTTTTGTGTTCTTCATTAGTCTCCAGGCATTTATCTGAGTCTTCAATGTCTACACTGACTGCTGCCTGATAACACCAACAGTGGTTGGCATGTCAGACTGAGGCTTGCTGACTTGTTTTGGATTTATATCCCACCTTTTTCTTTTTTAAAGAACTCTAAGTGGCTTACATCATTCTCCTCCTCCACTCAGTCTTATCTTGGGAGATCTGCGTTCTGCTCCCCACTTGGCCACGGAACCCACTGGGCAGCTTTGGGTGAGACACTGACTCTCAGCATAAACCTTCCTAGCAGGGTTGTTGTGAGGATGGAAATGGAGTGCAGGAGGACCCTGAAAACTGCCTTTGGGTTCTCACAAGAAGATTAAAAAGCAGGGCTCTTCTGTTTATTTAATAGATTTCTAATCTGCCTACTACTAATGTTATAATTACTTATAAATATAGTTGAAGGCGATGATGGTAACATGCCAAAGTCCGGATTTACCATAGAACCACAGTAGTGCTTGTGTAATGTGAATGTGTATAAAGGAATTAGATTGGCTGTACTGGTTCTGAAGGGATATCACTGCCGGGTCTTGGGAGTCGTTCGTGCAACCCTTGGAGGGCAGAGCCGCTTGGCTCAAGTGAGCATTTGCCTGTGTGCCTGTGAATCCTGTGGAGCCCATTTGGAGTGACTCCGATTTCTGTGAGGCCGCCTATTCAGACTGGGGCTAGGAAGGTGGGAGGAGGCTGCGCAGTGTTGAAGGCAGTGGTGTTTGCATGTGATTTGCCACCATGCAGTGCTGCCTGCGGCTCTGCTGCTATATCATGTCAGTGTGATTACTAACAGCTGTGCAAAATGGCTTTAGAGTGGGATTTTCCAAGGATTTGACTGGAAATGGTGTGTGTGTTTTTTCTTCCTTGGAAATGTTCCGAATCTCTGGTTTAAGCAAATAATTTGCATTTTCTCTGTTCTTATAGGCAAGTTAGCTTTTCTGAGCTGTTAGCACTCTCCACTATAAATATGACTGTAATGGTTTCCACAGTTTTAAGTATTTTTATTTCATTGTGGCTGGTAGTCTCTAATACTTCGGTGAACCGCCTTTGGCTTTCAGAAAGGCTGTATAGAAATACTCTCAATAAATCATCAATAATACATTGCTTGGGTTAGGGCTTAGCAGGACATTCTGGCAGGGCCACAAAGAGGAAATTGGAAACTTTTGCTCTGATTTTGAGCTTAACTGTAGGCCCGTGCAAAGGCAGAGTGATGCAAGAGTGGGGGATCCCAGGACTGGGGCGGGGAGGGGGCAAATCTGCCTAGTTGGGTGTCCCAGTCCGCACTCTGGAGATCCCAAGAAGGCTGTGACCCCTTTCCTTTAACCAAAGGTAGGGTGGAGTCCCAGCTTTTGTGCAGTTTTATGCCCATTCTAAAACGCTGAAAAGTTTCTCCTTAGGGCTTAGCTACTCCAAGTAGATCAAGATACAATATTTTGGCAGCAGGGAAGTATTTTTGGCCCTACTTCTTTTGGCTTTGTCTTGTCCAGCACTGGAATTGGCCCCCAAGAAATTCTCTCAATGGGATTCATCCGTTACAGTGAAAGAAATTCTTCACCCTTGGTTTTAGGCAAGTCACTGGGATCAAAGGAGCAAGGTTTGAAATTGGCTTACTTTACTAATGGACTGTAGTTTTTCCAAGTTTTGGACCAAGCAACAAACTGCGGCTGGTTGAAAATGGAAGCCAACGCTCCTTGTGGCTGCCCTGATGGAGCGGATCCTTGGAACAGAGGAAGGTGGTTGAATATAAGCCTGCAGCTCATCCATAAAACACTAAACCCTAATTGGTGTTATTTCGGAATGTAGTCAGTATACCTGCTCGTAAAGCTGGTCTGACTGGTCAGCACTGCTTTTGCAACACCTGGTAGTCTGATGTGGCTGCTGGTGTGGCTAATGCCGTTGGACATCATGGCTGCAGCTGAGCCCGAACTCCCCGCCCGCCACCTGTTTTGCCTATTCTGTGCACTTTCTCGGTGGTTGCAGCTTGTTTGTGCTGCTCATCAAAACCTTTGTGAGGACAGGGTGGTTGTGTCGCTGCAGCAGCACCATGTGGCTGTGCTCCTTTGGTCAAGAAAACGGAGTGTGCTCTCTGGAAAAGGGTGCATTGAAAATGTTTGGCAGAAGAGAAGTTTCTTCTGCCTAATAGGCCAATGCAGCAAAAAGAACTCATTTTTGAAAACGGGGGAACTGCTTAGAACAGGGGTCCTCAAACTTTTTCTAAAGGGGGCCATTTCGCAGGTGCCGGTGGGGGGGGGGCATGGGCCAGTGAGGGGGCAGGGCAGGCATATGCATGCACTCACGAGGCGAGGAAGGGATGGGAGGGGGCGTGCGGGGCGAGGCACCGGCTTGCTCATGAGGAGTTTGTTTTCTCCGAGCTAGTCCAAAACGACCTCTTCGCGACGCACATGCACCTGGCGAGTGCAAAACCTGTGGGGTGGGCCAGTTAAAAGGGCATGGTGGGCCAGATCCGGACCGCAGGCCTTAGTTTTAGGACCCATGGCTTAGAAGTATTTATTCTTGTCTAAAAATGACAAAAAGCTGGGGAAAATGGGGTTCTGAGAGGGAGGATCAAAGGAACAATTGAGGGAATGCAGCATAACGCACACGCACAAAAGCGCAGATATCCAGGTGAAACTGTGTATAGGGGCAAACTGTGTGCATTTCCTCACCTGCATCCTACCCCAGCTCCTCCTCTCTTCTTGTTGGTACCAAGGAAGGATGTGAACAGGGCTAATTCTGAGCCAGCCCAGAACCTGTCGTCCCTTCCAAGCTCAGCCCTGGAACACCTGCAGTAATAATCAGGAAGATTGTTCCTGTGCATGTTCAAAGTTTCTCCTGGAATCTTATGCAAATGCATTATTTCTGCTATTGAAATGTTGTGACTCAAGTTATTAAGCTACACTTTTTTCGTACACTGAGAACTTTTGTCCTTAGGGTTGCGATGGCTCAGAGAGGAAAACCTGCCTTTCTACATGCTTGTCCCTAACGGAAGCCCTGCAAGCCACATTTGACCTGCTCTGCAGCTCCAACCAGTCTGCCGGCCGTGTGCCGTTGGCTTTTCCTCCCGCCCCCCGACCCCTGCTCAGCCCTGGTAGCTTCTCTGCAGTCCCTGGGGTCGGTGTTTTCTGCCCGCGGTGCCTTCGCCTGACGCTGCGCTCCAGCACATTTCAAATTGTGTTAATGCAGCAGCACATGTAGAGGAAAATGGCATTGTTGACACGGGTGGTGCCATCACCTGCTGGCACGTTGTGTCCTTTTGTGTTAGCATGGCACAGGTGTGCACACGGGGGCAGAACCCCCAAGGAACTGCGGCAGTTGCGGCCATGATGCCACCAGGAACAGCGGGTGCCTCGTGTGGAATGAGCCGCAGCAACCGTTCCCAACTTGGGTTCCTCCCAGAGTTCTCGTTTGCAGCTCCCCAGATGCCCAGAATTGTGAGAGCTGCAATCTTGGCATACCCAAAGGGCATCAGGCTGGGGAAGGCTGAGTTTTAAGGCTGTGCTCACTTACCCCAGGCATATTCCTGCCTTTCAGAATGCAGTTCACCTGTGGAAGGGGCTGCCCCGCAAGAGCATCCGTGGCTACCATTTTGAAAGGGAATTGGACAAGGTCACGGAGGAGAGGCTGTGCCCGGCTGCCAGTCCTGATGGCCACCTGCGTCCTCTGGTGCCAGAGGCAGGGCGCTCTCGTGTGCCGTTTGCCGGGGCGCATGTGAGGGCCGGAGCAGTGGCATCAATGTCCTGCTTCAGGGCTTCCCCAAGACAGATGGCTGCCCCTACCTGAACAAAACACAGGGCCAGATGGGCCCTTGCTCTGATCAAGCGTGAGCCCGCTTATTTTTAATTGCAGCTTCATGCATCGTGTCTGAAGCCACTGACCGAAAACTCTTCCGCTGCCACTTTGCTATGTGGCATGACTTGGCTGGCCAGAGACTTTGCCGAAAGGTGGCCTTGGTGTTTAGGTCTCTCAGGGTCATGCTGTTCGAGAGCTGATGTCCTGCTTTTCTTTGCTGAGGTGCTTGTGGCCGCTTTGGATCATGCCCAGAGTGTCTAAGGTCGCTTTGAAAATGCAGTGATGGCAGCACCACGCTGGAACGGAGGCTGGAGGAAACAAGTTCAGGAAGGAGGCGTGCGGTGGCCTTGGTCGCATGGGGACGCTCAGTGCGCCCCCAAGAGCTGAGCCTGGGTGAGCAGGAAGAGCAGCATAACGGTTAGCCTGTCTTGGCGCGTGACCGGGGAGAGCTCACTGAGACACGAATTCTCAGGTTGGCCTACCTCACTGGGTCGTTCTGAGGATAAAAGGCAGAGGACAACTGCACGTGCCATTTTGAGCTCCTTAGGAAAGACACTGGGATATAAATGGTGAAAGTGACATAGTTCCTATTATCATTGCATTGCATTGCATTTATATATCCCACCTTTTTTCCTCTTGTGAGCAACCCAGGGGCACTTTCCCATAGTCCTTCTCTACTTCGTTTATCCTCACAACAACCCTGTAATGTGGACTAGGCTGAGAATGAATGACTAGCCGAAAGTCACCCGGTAAGTTTCATGGCTGAGTGGGACTAGAACCTGGATCTCCCAGGTCCGGCACTCTCGCCATCACACCTTGCTGGCTCTCA